TCCTTGAGCACAATCAGCCCGTCAATTTTTTCAGTTTAAATTGATTGAAAGTAGTGACCACTTTTCTCTCAAGACTAGGCTTACCGTCTTGTTATTTTAAACGTGTTTTCAATTGTTGTGACGCATGTACCGAAATTCGAGCAGTTAGACTTTTAACAGTAAATTGTATCCGCCATTATGGTCATCATTGAGATTAGAGATGTTTATCAACAGTCAATAAACGTTAAACAACTCTGGCATTGTAATTTTAAAATTACTACGAATTGAATTATACTTTCTTTAAATACAAATTTAATAATCCATATGTATTTCCAGTTTCAATAACATATAAACACAAATCATTTCTGACATTTTATGTTTCTCTCAATATTAACTATACTTCTTCAATGTCCTCATAGCTTTCTTCGTTTTCAGTTTCAAGGAAACCTATATTTCTGTTTCAATCAGCCACAGTTATTAAAACTGTGTTTCTCAATTGTTCGCTCCAGAGGTAGTAATTTGTTTACTGATTGGTATCTGAGTTTGATTACCCACTGTGCATTAAAGGAAGCCTGAATCTGTGAATTTCTTCCTGGTTGCCGCTGGATCCACCGCTTAATCCGCGCTGTATCATTTTACACTCGGTTGCTGGTAATTGCCACTTCTGTTTAAAGTTTCTTGCGTGTGTGCATCCGCGCTGTAGAAACACGGTTCTCGTCATGGGTTTTAACGCTTCGTGCTTTTCCGCGTTGCACACCTTTAAGGTAAGAATCGTGCGTGTAACGGACAGTACGTGGGTCTAGTTATTATTACAGTTAACGTTCAAACCGCATTTATAAATAGAAGCAAAAATGTTATTTTCCAATTCATCGTCGATATCTATATTTTTGAAACTTTTCATGCGTACTGAAAATACAAAACCGGATCTTATAATTAACGATAAAGGAAAACTCTGTGCTAGAAAAATGTCTGAATGTAAGCAAATCCATGATAAAGAGGTTTTGTAGCATAATTAATAATGTTGAAATTACTCTTTTTTTTATCAAGAAATCATATTCCACAAAGTTTTATTCTTGCCCCCCGTTCGCTTAACAATAATTGAATTTCCGTATCTACGGTTTATGTAGAATATCGAATGTGTACACCGACAACCCATTAGCATGTTCTTGATGCGTCTCTTGATTAGTAATTACCTTCCTCGAAGACAATACTTGATAACAGGCTTCAGAACACGGAAGTCAACTAGTGCTATGCACGAAGACACCAACAAATTACCGGGGAATTGTCCACCGCTAGGTAATTGTTCCTTCCTCTCGACAAAATGATCGGTTCTCACGCGTTATTTTCAACACCGTCAAGTTCATGGAAGTGAAGACTAAAAAATGCTCATTTCCAAATTCCGTCGAACTCGCAACATATGATGATCGTTCTCCAGACAATTAAACCGTTCACAAGTCAAAGTGACTAACTCCATTTTTATTGAATTTTTATATTTAGACTTTTTATATTTTTGTATCATTCAAGAGTTACTCATATTGAAAAATGAAAGGCTCGATTAATTCTCCAACGGAATAAAATTGTATACATTTATGACGTCATGAATCTTTCAGTTCATTCGAAGTTCACGCTCCATATTGAACGATTCTCGATCAACGTGCAATCAGATACCTCGCATCACGATGTGCTCCAAATACTTGACTGCATTCTACGATAACACGGTCTGAATATTTGTTGCACTTTAATTTAAGTATAACAGGAATACGCAGTCGGTCGAGTGGCTTCGATTCCACACAAACGGCTGCACGGAGTGAGAGTTATGACGGAGGGAGAATAAACGTAGAACGCGTTCCTGCGTTTATCTCGAGCCACGATGCTGTTGTGCAAGACTTTTGCACGGAATCCGTCCGGAGGCTCCACTAGAAAGTAATACCGCCGGGGTTCGTAACAGATCTCCGTAACGCTAATGCACGATATTCATTGGCCCGTGAAATTTCGCGACTTGATCTTGAAATCACTTTAATATCGTATTACCCGTTAGTAATTACGACATGACATGCAATAAATTCATGTCACTTAAAAAAAAGCGAATTTCTTGAATGACGGATTTGTACAAATTAATTATACATTAATGGTAAAAAATTTGCTAGTGTATTACACGTCTTGAGGTAATTCTGGTGAATGGAGGTTCCGAAATCGTGTACACTTAATAACACATTTATTTTAAATTGTGTACTTTATTGACATTATATTATTATAGTCAGGATCATTATATTATTTCGTTGTTGTATGTAGTATATGTTCGTAAAATGCTAAAAATGTCAGTTTATAATTCCGAGTACGGCAATTAATCGTATGAGTACAGCACAGAGCGTCTTACACTATGGACGGCATCCATATTTGATACTTCTTGTGAAACGACGCGTCCCTTAAAAGTAACTGTATTACAATTCACACAGTTTCAGGATGCGATACTATTTAATCCTTCATTTCAAATTACCAGATTATTCTACCGCACAATACAATTTGAAATAAAGAGAATTAATAATGAAACAATAAAATTGTAAATTAACAATAAGAGTCTTCAAATTAATAGTGAACAATGAGACCTTCAAACTATACTATCCCACAAGACATTACTAAAGCTGTCCTCTAAAAAATGTCAACAAAAATTTGTGTGTAGAAATTTTTATTTCCTTACAAATCGTCAAAACCTCCAATAGATTCACTTCATCATATGCCATAAACAATCAGACCTTTCGATCTTTTAACGTAAAACTGGATAGTTTGGAAATGTCAGGTTGACTAAACGTCAACTTTCTTTCCACACACCGCTACGCAGAATCAGTTCTGGAAAATTGTGTTTAGAAAGAAAAAGGTGGGTAAGGGGGCGATTAATGGCGGCTGGGCGGGCGTAACAGGACAATTCAATTTACAGATCGCGGCGGAGAGTTCCGCGAACTCCTGAAATGGAATCTGATTTCTAACGGCTTTTCACTGACCGCACTCGCCCGGTGGAAGTCATTCAGACGCCTGGGCCGCAACCGCGCTCGGTGGTTCGCCTCAAGCGACTTTTCTTTTGAATCCCGGTAAAGAACGCGGCTCGACGATGTCGTTTTATATGGGTGGCACACCCGATGGCTCTGATAGATCGTTCCATCCTCCGCACGGTTCAGCTATTTCCTTCCAACCCACTCGTCTGCGGTGGGTTCTCCGCGTTTTTCCATCAGACGTGAACGTTGATCCCGTGTCTGTAAAAGAAAAGAAACGCGTGGATGCTTATTACAGAAGCGTCTTGAACTTCCATGTAATTATCATACATTTCCTTTTGGAGTACTTAGGGCCAATGACTCGAAGGTGTGGTTAACACTCTATAATGTCTCACTATGGATTAAACGTATTTTTAAATTTACTGGGCAGTGAGAATCTGATTTTTGAATTTTCTGGTGTGACAGGTCTTCTTTTTTTCACTTTAATTTAACTTAATTTAACTTAATTCTTTTCTGGTGTTACAGAGAAGAAGGAAAGTTTTGTAGGTGAAAGGCGTGAAAGATTTTTTTGAGTTCCTATCATGATGTTTCTATGTTTTTTCCCTATTTTCATGCTAAATAGAAGTAAGATTCGTATTTGTTGTACATCCAATCATGGAGAACAAAAATTCAAGCAATTTTATATCAATGAGTAGTTCAGTAATTTTCTCAATGAAATGATAATGTAGTGAAAATTAAAATAGCATAGCATGTTTAACAATGTGTATTGTTACCTTAATATATGTTATTCTACTAGTTTGGAAAAAATAAAATTCATTTATTACTCATTAATATAGAAGAAACTAATACCTATTATAGCATTGGTGGTTAAAATACGTTCAACAAAGTAATAAGCAGATTATAATAACTTAAAATAACTATTACGAGCTGCTTTCTATTTATGTGATGAATATTGTATTCTGTGTGGTGAGTAATGTAATTCCTTTATCAGCCAATAATTTCGTGCATTACGTTATCGTAATATCACAGCTATTCATGCTTTCGTCCAATGCCTTCCGAACAGTATGTAGTACAACGCGCGTTCAAGACACTACGGCAGTTTCGATAACCGGAAGTGAACGGCATCGTGACGGACTATAGGCAGTGTAGGAAGTGTTCGTTTGTCACGCAAGAGAGAGCGTACTTTTATAAATAAAACTTTTTCCTAATTACGGTGCTCCAATTTACCTCGAACGAAAGTTCCAAAGAACTCGTTCCAAAGAGCTCCGCACACATCCATTCCGAGGTTCGATTATTGTACTTCATTCAACATAAATAACTGTCGATGCTAATGACTGGTAACATACGAATATGCACGTCATTGAACAGTATTATAATTTTTAATTAGGCTCATTAATTCAGGTGAAGAATGCGTGTCAATCAATTATAGTACGAAGAAGAATATACAACATCTGTTTGTTTCGTGAACGTAGTAGATTTTCATACAGGTAATCACGATATTAACCCTTTAACTCTTAAATCATTATTTTAAAATTATAAGATTGATATATATGCTGTATTTTATTATTTCGATGTCGAAAATATCGATATTAAACAGACCAATTCTTCTTTAATTTTTTTCTTGTTTATCTTTATTTTTTAATGGTAAACTTGAATTTCTCAACTGAGAACGTGGCTATCTATTTCACGTAAGTGAAACTACGTCCTTGCTGACAAAAGGTAGATATCAACCAATGACAAAATGTAACGCTCTTTTAAAATGAGCGTTGCACTCGTGCAACACTAGGAGTTAAAGGGTTAACAAAACATCGTACGCTTAGAGTATATGCAATTATTTACAAAAGTCTAAGAGTTATTGAATCGAACAACTGATCTGCATAGACCACAATATATTTTGTTCGTACATTATTTAAAATTCAAAGCGAAGTTCCTTTTTCAAGTTCCAGTAAAAAAAAATGTAAGATTTGTAATACTTCGCAGAAATGAATAAGGAAGGGATATTCACCTTGAATACGTCTGTTTCGTTAGGTGACGATGTGGACGATTGTACTCCTCACGCTCTGCACATGGTCTTCGTCATGGGGTCAGGTGATCAACCGAGCACCGCATTTCGTGCAAGGTGGCGATATGGCCAGGTTGGCCGTGTCGGAGGGCACGCCTCCAGGTGCACCTGTTTACAAGCTCGAAGGCGAGGATCCAGAAGGTTCTAAGCTGCATTACTCTATCAGCGGGGAGTATTTCACCGTGAATCGGGAGACCGGTGTCGTTATTCTAAGAAAACCGCTGGACAGGGAGACGCAAGACCTGATCGAGGTGATCATCAGCATAACGGGTAACTATGCTGCTTTTATTTGTGTCCCGTTACAGTGTTACGATGGAATATCAATGGGGTAATCGACGATATGTAGGGCAATAGACGGAACGTACACACGCCCCGATCTATGAAAATGATACGTCGATGAGCCAGCGACTATTTCTTATGTAATCGAATTTTTCTGAACCCGATTGGATATATCAGCTTGTAAAATGGCTGTCTACAGTTTGAAATTTCTTTCCTATTTTATGAGCAAATCTAGTCTGCAATTTATTTTTACAGTTTCTTATGTTTAGGCAGTTTTATTATAGCGGTTTCTGTTTGAAAAAACACTTTAATACGTTTTTGATCGATTTATACAGTTTCAAGGAATTTTCCTTGGCATGAAATGCATTCTCGATCTAAGTGACTGAACATCCTAACGGAGCAATGCCTGGTACATAAATGGAGTAAATGTGGAAATATTTCCCGACCGAAGTACTGTCGTTTTATTTATACTTTTTATATAACGTGACTACGAATGCACTCGATCGCGTATTTTTTATACATATATACAGCATAATGATATGTGCCTCGAGGGCAGTATACGTTCACCATATTACATAGTTTTCAATTTTCCTCCAGTAAAAATAATGATACAGATATTAGAGGACATAAAAGGACACGAATTTTCTGGACGACCCAGTAGATTAGATATTTATTCGAATTTAAGATGTTCTCCTTTATTTTTTTAGAAATAGAAATTAAGTTCAAAATTGTTTCTAAAATTTTTTAGACGTTTCTTAAGGTTACCGTTTTATTCCTGTAAAGACATCAAATCTGCAATTTACTCAATTACATGTACCTATATTGATAGCAAAAGTGATATTAATAGAAAGTGTAACAGTCTTCAATCATGGTGAAACTGGATTCTTAAATGCATCATAATAATCTGATCGTGCCTAATGAGGCAGTTCTAATTACGGTAATTTAATAGTTATTGTAACACTATTACCTATACTTACCATTATCTTAACAAAATTGCACTTTGTTTAAAATTAATTGCCATTCAAATATTCAATGTCCGATAAGTTAATGAGTCAACGAAAAATGTTTCATAGCCAAAAGATTATATATTTCTATAAGATTTATGCGTGGTTAACCGTGGATAATTGGCGATTATTATTCCAGACGAAGGGGTCGCAGGATCGGAGCCAAACACGGTGTCTCTTCGTCGCGAGATAGCTGTACTGGATGAAAATGATAATCCACCGGTTTATCATGGCAGGCCTTATGCGGCCAGAGTGCCGGAGAGTTTCGTGGGTGGTCTGTTGGTTCCTCCAGGCACGATCACGATCACCGATCGCGACGGCGGCGTAAACGCTGATGTTCACGTGGAATGTGTCTCTGGATCGCGAGACGACGATGTCTGCGACGTCTTCAATGTGTCGACCGAAAAGGTATTTTTCAATTGTTTTTAACAGACTTGCTACGAAATCCTATAACGAACTATTTGTCATATTATTAACGAACAATATTATACTGAAAAAAATACAACAGTTGCAAAATCGGCATCACTTGCATTAAAGAAATAATACATTCCACATCACCATAATTTCATCGTATAAAAATTATTGTAACTGAAGGTACATTGAATACTTTTATATGAAACTTTCATTGGGATACTATATGTACTACAGGGTTGAACATTGAATATATGTATCTGGAGCAGAGATGGGCAAATTCATCATCTGGATAAAGAATTTTGAATAACGAACAAAAGATGAAAAAGCATTTCGCCCTTTTTAATTGATTAGACGCGGAAATTCCAATTTCTATAATAAAATTTTTCTTGTATGTGTAGACATTTGGCAAACAATTATTTAATCTCATTAACTGTTTCAAGCTCAGGGTGACAATCTTGGATACTGCTGCTTTTCACTAAATAATATTTGAATAAAACTATGCCCAATTCTTGTCTGGAGAGACATGATAACAGAATTTACTAAGTCGCTAATTTCAATCAAGAAACACATAATTTTCTGTCACTGACTTGAACTCCGTTAAGTCTGCCACAATTCCCTATTCACGTTTCTAAGTGTGTATAATAAACGGAAAGTCATAATCGTTGGTTCGATATTAAACATGACAGTCGTATCCTGAAGGTCACGTTTCTTGCCAGACAAGTAGTCATTTCTAACAGTTATTTCAAGCACGTAGAAACGTAATGTTTGTCTTCTCAGTAAGAAGATCCTCGTAGAGCCTCTACTAATCCCAGACTTTTCCATTCAGTTGGCAGAAGGAAAATACGACGTGCAGATCACCCTGGCAAAACCTCTCGATTACGAAAGACGAAACTCATACCTGATCAATTTATTGGCGGTGGATGATGCCAGCGACGTGACGAAGGTGTTACAGGCTAGAGCAACCGTGGCCGTCGACGTTCTCGATGTACAGGTAAGTGGGTCTCGACCGTAACCCAACATAACTGTACATCCATCCCGATCACGGTTCGTATCGGTTAACAAGATGTAGCTCGCGCGAAAAACAGGCCAGAAAATGTACCCGCGTCACCCAGTGCCTTCGTTTCGCAAGCATCCGACTAAACCAAGATCCTCGCGATATTACTTTCACCGGAACGGTAAACCGCGTCTTATTTCCCCCCCCCCCCCAACCACGAAGAGCCATAACATCATTAATCCTCGAACAATCCTCCGTTACCTTAACGGACGCCTCGTTTCTAATGAATTCCACGTGGATGTGTGCTCGATATGAATTTTACAAACGATCAAACGGAAATCGTAGCGTGTTACGACGGTCACGATGATTCCATGAAATCGTACGCGAATCGAAACGACGACGCGTAACACAGTTGCAAGGTAAATAAAAAATCGTTTTCAGGATCAGCCACCCGTGTTTTTGAACGCGCCGTACAGCGCTGCGCTTCCGGAGAACACCGCGGCCGGTCACACGGTCCTGACGGTGAGAGCGCGGGACGGTGACACAGGTGAGTCGAGGGCGTTGCTGCTCACGTTGGAGGACGATGAAGCGAAGAACTTCGATCTCGTGGTGTCGCGGGAAGGCGACGTCACCGTTGGAAAACTGGTCACCACAAATGCCTCGTTAGACCGTGAAGATCCCAGGATACTGCAGAACGGCGGGATTTACACGTTTCAAGTGAAGGCGACCGAGCTGATCAACAATGAGATACCGGCCGACACGGCCACCTCTATTGTCACGATCGTCGTCACGGACGTCGACGATCTGGCGCCTGCTTTTAACGAGGAATCATTTAATATCAGTATTTCGGAGGACATTGGAATGAATACACCCTTGCCAGGTGAAAATTGCCATAACAAATAGTTAATGATTAATGGTTTTATTGTGGTTTTAGAGAAAATATATGATTTGGAAACGTTGATCTACTAGTAGAGATTGATACAGTGATAAAAGTAATTAGAAAGTTATTGAATGTATCGATTCAGTTGTTGGGGTCGCGAACTCTTTAGAAATTAGAATGTCTCTTTATGTATGCTGAGTAAGCGTTTTGTTGGAATCCACTTTAACGATACTTTCGTTCTATACTTGTGGTAATGATTGATGATCGGGAATAGTAAGATATACGTACATACTATAACTAATTTTAATAATGAGAGGAGTATCGGCCTGAGAGAATTTATATCGTTTAATCATTGTGGAAACGATATTACAATTGAAATAGCGTACACTTTTGAGAATTATATAGATCGACTAAAAAGATAGTCGAAAAGATTTAAGTGAATTTCAAATAATCATCTTTCAATTAAATATTTACTCAGCCTAACAAATTAATCATTCTAATCATTGGACACCTACAGAAAGTTAAATCTTTCGATCATGTTACACAGCCTGTTCAAAATTCGAGAATATTAAATTATCCTTAAATAAATATTAAAATTATTATTAGTTTTTACAATAACATAACTGGCTTTTCAGGCCTCAATATGATTGTAAGCGACGGCGACGTCGGAGATAACGCCAGATACACGCTAGCTCTGCGGGACGTGCCAGAATATCCTGGAATCAGTAAGGCCTTTACTGTTAATCCCGAGGAAGCTCAGGGCCGTGTGCCAGTCGTAGTCAAAGCGAAAGACGTCAACGTGTTAGACTACGACGTCGACGATCCAGCGAAAAGGGAGCTTGAATTTGAAGTTGTTGCCCTCGTTGCGAACAAAGTGGTAAAGACTTCGACATTTTCATAATTCTACATTGAGTAGGTTTTTATATAATCATTATATAACTGAACATTAGGTAGCTACAAGTAGAGTCCACATACAAATAACGGATGCAAACGACCACAGCCCGGAATTTTCCCAGTCGGTATACAAACTTTCCGTGCCCGAAGATGCTGACATGGGGACCAGATTCGGTGACGTATTCGCTAAAGACTACGACAGCGGTTCGTTCGGCGAACTGACGTACACGTTGCGTGGTTTCGGTGCCGATAAATTCAACACTGACCCAAAAACCGGCGGAATCACCGTTGCGAAGATGCTGGACTACGAAATTCAGAAATCTTATTCACTGACCATGGAGGCTAAAGATGGCGGCGGAAGGGTGTCAGCTGTGAATATATTAATAGAACTCGATGACGTTAACGATAATAAACCCATATTCGAGCAGAACGAGTTCACCAGAACAATTCGAGAAGGTGCTGCCAGTTTCGATCCACAGATGTTCGTCAGAGCTACGGATGTCGACGGTCCGATGCAGGGTAACGGAAAAGTAACGTACTCCATTAGCTCGCACAATAGTATGACGAATGATGTCTTCAAGGTATTTAAAAAAAATGGCCTTTTTATATAACTATTGTTATATTTGCAGGCAACCCCCGTGTAATACGGCGTTTCCATAACATCCTGTCATGCCAATATGGTTATAGAATTGAGGAAAGCCCCTAATAACACGGTTTCTCTCTAACACTGTTAGAGAATCGTGTAAAATAGTTTAGTTCTGTTTTTGGAATTTAACCCTGTTTGTTTTGTACCTTAACACAGTAATTTTTGGGTACCCAGCCACCGTTTTATACGAGGGTTGCTTGTAGTTCGAAATACATTGTTTCAAATTCGTATTGGGAAATCTGAAGTTGAAGAAAAATATTTTGTAGATCAATCCAGACAGCGGTGAAGTAACAATGGCGAAGCCAGTTCGTTCGGGAGACACTGAAAGGGGAATATACGAGTTGGTGATTCGCGCTACGGATACCGGTACACCGCCATTGTATTCTGAAGCGAAACTTCTCGTGAGGGTAGGGGTGCCTGGAAATCAGAAACCTATATTCCGTGGAAACTACAAATCGAATTTACCAGGGCCAAATACTTATCGAGCGAGACTATTGGAGAACGCTTCACCCGGAACGGAAGTGATTAGAGTGGTAGCAAACGATCCCGATGGTAGGGACAACTTGCTACAGTATCACATTGCTTCTGGTGCTAAAGACAATTTTGTCATAGATTCTAGGTAATAATAGTTCTCGTTTAACTATATGGATCTTACGAATGATTATACTTTTCTGCGTAATCATAAGTTCAATGAAATGATGGACAGTGATAAATGAACTATTGTTGTTTTAGCTCTGGCATCATCACTGTTTCCCCAGACGCTCGTTTAGATCTGGAGACTGGCGGTGGGAAATACGAGGTAATCGTTCATGCCATAGATTCTGGTACGCCTGTCAGAGAAACAGCATCCACTACTGTCACTGTGAATATGATCGATGTGAATAACAAACCACCGATGTTCAACGAATCAACGTATCTCGTTTACGTGTCGGAAAGGGCAGCCATTGGTAAGCTGTCAACTATCTAAATTCTTGGAATTTATTGGATACAGGATGCTATAACTAAAACTCAAGTTGTATCAATATGTTTTATGAGTAGAAGAGAGGTGAAGCGCGTTGCACTATTGATATAAGTTTTCATATTTGACAGTCAATTTCTAAAAAAACATTATTCCATTCGTGCATGTTTGTATCGAGCATAAGCCATGAATTAAGCATATTCATTACTAATTTTCGATGATAATTGAACAGGTGAACCTGTCCTGAAGGTAGTAGCCACAGATCCCGACTCGGACGCTTATTTAGAGTACTCTTTAGTAGAACCCATAAGAGCTGTTGACAAGACCGGCGTCGCTCTCAAGACGACAGCTCCGTACGATTACAGATCAGCGTTTCGTATCAATTCTACAACAGGACTAATAACAGTGAATCGTGTCTTGGATTATCAAGTGGCTGCTGTCATAATACTGACTGTTCAGGCCCAAGATCTGAACGCAGTCGTCGATAAAGAGAAGCAAATCACAAAGGTAGAGGTGACAATCTATATTCAAGCTTACAGCGACGACAATCCAACGTTCACAAATCCTGGATGGTCACCGAACAATCCGACTATCAGGATTTCTGTGCCAGAGGAGCAACCTCTTGGAACGACATTGTTAATGCTGTCGGCTAAAGAGCCTACTACCAACTACCCTGTTCAGAGATTCGAATTGGTCAGGGAGGATGACGATGAAGGATACGTTAATGTTGGTGTTCAGAGCGGAAATGTTGTGTTGAGCAAGAGATTGGACTACGAGGCCCTTAATCAGAAGGTACTGTTACAACTCACAGAACTATTACTATCATAAGTGCTCAGTTTTGGGAAATGTGTAATTCCTCTGTTTTTAAAATTGATTTGATAAATTACCATAATTCTATAAATACTTGGAAATTTTTATACACCTGAATTTATCTTTGAGCGTACAAAAAATTGTTTTCGTCTAAGGGAAAATATGTACATAATTACTGACGTTATGAAATGCTTCTATGACTTCGTTTCTCTTTCAGTTCATCCGCTTCAAAGTACGAGCTCTAGCCATGGACTACGAAATAACGCGTAAGATGTCCGAAGCGAACGTGATCGTCGAAGTTCATGATACTAACGACAATAGTCCCATCTTCACCCAAAAAGACTACAAAATTTCCGTGCTGGAATCAGCGAAACCCTCGAAAATCGTATTAAACGTCAAAGCAACGGACGTAGACAGTTCAAATACGGAACAGGAAGTCAGAAGAGGATACGGTGAAGTGCGGTACTCTCTGACCGGTGAAAATGCAAATATGTTCGAAGTGGATCCGATAACTGGAAACATTCAGGTCAACCATTCAGCTAAATTGGAATTTTACGAACTTTCAGTTGAAGATGTTTCATAGTGACAGAATCTTTCATATTACAGCTTACTACCAATACGACACTCGATAGAGAGAAACAATCAGTTCTACGCTTCTATGTGGTCGCTACGGACATGCCTCAAGGAGGCGCAGAGCAGAGAACTACTAGATCATTGGTGACAGTCGATGTTCTAGACGTGAACGATAACGCTCCGGCGTACGAACAAGAATCATACACAGCCGTTATACCTGAAAACGCTCCGCCAGGCGTCAGCGTCGTAAACATAACCGCTACGGACCCAGATGAAGGCGATGGTGGAGTGATTAACTTCGATATCATCGACGAGGGTGAAGCAAATGGTAAGCGTTCATACACCATCACCCAACCTTAATTTCTAATTTTGCATTTTCAATACCGAATCACAATTTTAGCACTGTTCAAAATAAATCATACCACCGGTGAGATCTATTCAGCCAAAGCGCTGACTGGAAAAGGACGAACAGAGCCCTATGTCATGCGGATCAGGGCCCAAGATGGCGGAGACCCGGAATTATACACCGACGTGATTCTGACATTATACATCGGCGACGTAGTCAGCAACGACGGCGTTCCCCTGTTCATCAGACCAACTTTGGAAGAAGTGGCTCACATAGCCGAGAATTCGACGATCGGTAGCCCGGTCTTCCAAGTCGTGGCTTCAGATCCGGATGATCCGAACTTGCCGAACGGGAAGATCACGTTCAAGTTCTTGGAGGACGGGAATTTCGGAAAGGACGCGAGTGCTTTCAGGATAAACAGCGATACTGGATTGATCACCACCCGAAAGCTACTCGATCGAGAGGTAAAGGACAGTTATACGCTCATATTGGTAGCTCAAGATCTAGGTAGTCCGCCTCAACAAGCAACCAGGGTGCTGCAAGTAGTAGTGAACGACATCGACGATCACAAGCCACATTTCAAAAGGAACTTGGACAGTCCGCCGATAGAGCTGACAATCTTCGAAGAGGGACCAGTGAGTGCCAAAGTCGGATTGATCGAAGCGATCGACGAAGACATTGGTGAAAATGGAATGATCGACTACGCGATCGTCTATGGTAACGAAGCTGGTCTATTCGTGGTGGAACGTCTGGAGAATAACTCTGCCGTTATCAAGTCCAATGGCCATCTGGATCGAGAATCGGAAGATCGTCATCTGTTGACTGTTAAGTGCTTTCCGTACACCACGAAGAAGTCTGACATCATCCCGAAACCCTATAATCGGCAAGATCCTTCCGAGAGGCAAGTTCTTGTACGAGTTCTCGACATCGACGACAACAAGCCGAAATTCAAGAAAGAGAACGTTACCTTGGGCGTTCGATTGAACGTTCCAATCGACACTGGTCTGATCACGTTGGAGGCTTTCGATGCAGACTCTGACGCATTGCCAATTAAATACAGTATGGGAAAAGCGTCGTTCGCTTCCCTGGTCGATCCTTCCATGTCCAAGCGACAGATTCCCTCGCAGCTGTCTCTGAATCCTCAAACAGGTGAATTGAGGACAACTGGCTCCATGTCGAACTACGCAGATGGCTACATGGAGATCATAATCTCCGCCAACAATTCCGTAATACCCAACAGAGTAACGAACATAACCCTAAGAATCTTCTTGCTTCGTGACAGAGACATGTTGAAGTTCGTGTTCTGTAAACCGCCCGTAGAAGTCCGAAAGACATTGGAGGATTTCGAGAAAGCTGTACAACAAGCTCTGTCGCTGCCGATCAGCGTCAACGTTTACGATACCCAATTCTACTCGAAGGAAGACAACTCCTTGGATTTTTCTTCGACGAGCTCGTGCTTCCAGATGGTTGGAAAAGAAGCGTACGATCTCGACGAGATGAAGGCTCTTCTTACGGACCCAAGAAACGAGGAGTTGAAGAAGGTTTATAGAGCCTACCACGTGGAGAAGGTTCAACACTGTGCACCCTTAGTGGCTCGCGCTGACGCATCCATGACGCAGATGTGGGTGCTGGCGATTGCTGTTCTTGTTGGCGTTGCAACTGTGATTTCGAGTTGTACTCTCTGCTGCATGCATGCCAAGTGAGTTTTCACACTATCAGAGTTTTGTTATTCGGTTGTTACACAGGTCTCCTGGATGATTGTCGAAAGACTTGTTATAGGTTTCTATTCTTTCTTAATTATTCTAGATAGTATTTATCATTTTTTAACTTTCCTTTTCGGAAACCTAATGTGATAGCACCTCCTGTAATTGTCACTAGAGTGCTTTTGAAAATGCTTCACCACAGCTACTCGAATCTATCGTAACAGACCATCGAATATCCCCACGTATAAGACAGGGTCTGCTAAGTATAGTCTTACTGAAGAATCCATTAACAGGCCCAGGACGAAACGCACCCTCTCCTTTTCTTTTCATCCCTTTCATAGCAACCGCCACACTGATATATCTCTCCGCATGATTTCCTCTGATCTACAAAAGTTCTTTCTTCGTTCACAGATACAAACGGAAAGTAAAACACCCGCGTTTACGGGATCAACCGCGGCCGCCATTGAGCTACGTCTCTTCCGGTCCAGGCATGGTCAGCGCCGCGTCTCATACGACACTTGGACCAGGAACCATGGTTTCACTAGGACCCCATGAAAGTCCATACGAATGGGGAGCTGATACGACCTTGTACCATCCCAGCACCCTTGGATCAAGGTCATGAAAAAAAATACTCACCTCGATGTGAACTATGAATTGAAGAAACTGTAATGTTTAAATCGTGGATTTAACTGTACGAAACTTTGGATGATTTTGGAAAAACCGGAGACACATCGTCCAGAAATAAAGCTTCGACAAACTGTTGTATTAGTTGAACATCGTTGAAAGAATTGTTGAGCGTCATTGATCTCAAAGCGTTTCACAAAACATTCACTGTTGTTCAAAAGCTGGTCTCTATAGAGGTCTGGCTCTCTAAGGAAGTTTCTCAACGAAATAACAACACTGTGTGAAAATCGAAGGAAACGTACAATAAAGTTGAAGTTCAATCACGTTCTTTGGAAATTATCCTACTGAAATAATATCTGTCAGAAGTACGAGACGATCAGTATAAATTTTCAAGGTTTTTATTAGAAGTTTTATTCCAGACACTTTATTTAAGACATCGAAAGTTGTGGAATGCCATCGAAACCGGTGAGTTCAAGTGTTAGAAGAGAGAACGATTTGTAACGTTGAGTTAAGCTGTCGGTTATGCTTTGAGTGAACGGAGACGAAAGGAACGTCTTCCGCCCGAGTTTGTATTATAGATGTTGGAGGCAATATTTCAGTAGTGTCATGAAGAAAGTCACGAGAGTGCGGAACGAATCGTGCTACGAAGTCGACGAATGGTGCTATAATGTAAGATTGAAAAGTTCGTGCCAAAATAGGGCGTGACAAGTACACGTGTAATATGCGACGGCATTATTTAGTTTAAGCGAACTAACTCGCGTGAATTGTATATTTCTTAGGCTTTACATGAATTCTATTCATTGATACGCGACAATATCGTAACAAGTACGCGTATTTGATTGTAATATACGTAACATTTAAGGGCGAAATAAATTTGTACATTTTTTTGTAAAAAAAATATTTCTGTCACCTTCATATGTTTTTTAACCTCACGAATTGATTAATAACTCCTTGTTAACTAGCCTTATTGGTCGAAACCCATTAGAACTAGAATTGTAACAAATTTCTATACCATACTCATTTTACTTACATTTTATCAAACTTGATAATGGGCAAAATTGATTGCTTTGCTGCAGTTACTGCGAAATGGTCTATGAAAATAAGAGTTTATGTAAATATCCGTAGGCGAATAGTAACTCCGTTATGGTTAATAAGAGTTACCCTAAGGAAATAGTTAATGGTATTATTTATTGCCAACTAGTTCGTGTTTTAAGTACAGCAATGACTCGTTCTCAGAAAATACTAATCTATCAATTTGTTTATAATCTAGTGAAAATATGACTTCACCCAACGTTTATAAATACAGATCCAGAGCTAGAAACTTTCATTCTTCTGTGACCTTCCGGGGTTGAGGAAGGTCCAGAGGGAATCTGAGAACATTGACTGACTAACCATACTATACCTAGCTTCTCGAGTATGAACTGCGAATAAATATTCCTTATAGTATGCATAATCATGAAATCGATAGGTACTGTATACTTCATCAAGACCTATGTATGTGTTTTACTCCTGTTTCTTTTATTTTGGAAAAATAACACAATTATTCTTTCGATATTAGGTACCCCGATTTCTCCGTATTTGCAAGTCAGTAACTATAAACAAAGGGATGATCGTTTACGTAGAACAGGAACAGAGGCAGTTGCCAGCCAATACCTGGCCCTAGCACGCGTATGTTTTCCTTATTTTCACTGACTCGTCTCGTTGAACGGACAGTAGTAAGAACGTGACCGCCAAATTTTTACCTGGATACTGCAATCATAACAATTTCGGCGAATTTGTTTAGCTTGACCCTTCCTCTACGACGCTTCATAAGTAAACTTTTAGTATTTGTGCGACCTTCGTAAGGAAACGACGTTTTCCAGTGTGAGTGCTCTGTGCGTGACATGTTTCGCAGCAGAATTCTTAAGAAAGAACGTTCGAGCACACCAGAAGGTACAATGTTTCTAATTACAATATAGTAAAACCTCGATGAGTGTCCGAAGGCTCCTTGGCATTGACAGGTCCCCAGGTGTAACGTTGACTTTATAGTGAGGTTTAGCATGTCGATAAAGCTTGGAATTCTAAAGTCAATGGTATTTGTTTCAGCTGTATCTGGGCATTAGTTTATGAAATATTTAATGTTCAATGCGAAGGAGCCTTCGGACACTGATCCAAGATTTACTGTATTACCCTCTAGGATTCGATACTCGTGGTATTCTTCGCGGAATTTTCAATGAACTGAAACGCAGAGTTCACGACCTTCGAAACGAAATTACAAACGACTGTTATACAATCGTCCATTTTATTTTCCACTTGAAATATTCTATTACACGGCGTGAACGCCTGATGACTGCCGATTTTGTTCACGGTCCCGTGGCCTATTAAGCAATCGCCGGCGATCGTCGAATATCTTACGATTGCACGAGCCCAAGATCTTGGGAGATTCTTAACTGCCCTCGACGGAAATGTCAAGGCGAGGTGGAGCTCCGTGGATAATTCGATCTCGTGGAACGATGAACTGGGAAACACGAATAAATTCCAAGGAGACTGTCGATCTAGCCAATTTCTATAATGACTAATATTTATCATCATTGGAACAGAAAGATCAGTCAGGTAGAAAGGAAAACAGAAGTATTACTAGGGGTGCTTCCAAAGTTCTGGGAATTGTGTTATAAATTGCTTATTATATTAATTTTCGTCTATATTACAATTGTAAATTTTCAATATAATTTCCATTTAACTGTACGCACGTATCCCAAACATGAAACTTGTTTTTTTGGGCCATCTGAAAAAACTTTTTGAGAGTCTCTTCATTAAGTTATTTAAATCGTGAAATCGCTCACCGTGTAAAGATTTATTCAATTTTGGCAAACGTTAATAGTTGCTGGGTGTCTGATCAAGCGAATAAAATGAATATGGGTGTAATTCCCAAGGCAATTCGCTTAAAATTAATTTTTAAGGGAATAATGGCCCTTGGAGAACTTACAACTTCTTCCATAGTTGAAAAATTTACACTTAAAAACACACCCATGTTCACCAAGAGGCTAAATAATTCTGATCGGCATTGACTAACTTTGTTGGTAAAACCTGTATGTACCTGAAATCATTAGTCATTACTAGCCTGCGGATTTTATGCATTTATAACCTATAGAGGTCTGTAAAAAAAATTTAAGGTCAAAACTCTCATCAGATCCAATAAGTTTTCTGGTTTATTCGGAACCCAACATGATACTTGAGGAAAGAAAAAACTTCCTACATTTCCTCTTCTCTGTATGCTTTAGAAAATATCATTTTGCATAAAAATCTGCAGTCTAGTCATTACCCCTGCAATATTCCGCCAGATCGCAATTCCCAAAACCTTGGATACACCTCTGCTACTTTTCGAAATATCTCCGCACCTTCCATACACGGATTTATTAATTGCACGACCTCCAATAGCTTTTCAGCCTTTTTCTCGTTAAACCACTTTGGTTTTAATTAGTTTTAGAGACACTGTCGCTGAATCGTTTGAATCCTTCCACGGTATCGACGTCTTTCGAGACCTCCACGGTCTTGGTCTCAACAACCGTTGTCACATCCGGCGCCAGAGTGGTGTTTCGTTCCTCTTTCTCATTTTCCTCGGTGGTACCCACCAGTTTCAATGCCTCGAACTCGTATTTTTCCGTGCTCGCGTAGTCCTCCTCGGCGCTCGATTTATGGTTCGCCGGGACCGTGACGATTTCCTCCGAATCGCCGCCATTGGTCCCCGAAGAGTCGTTCCTTTGCTCGTGTTTACTCTCGTTCTTGTTATCCAGAACGGTCTCCTGATAACGCGTCGAGGCTAAACTGGTCGGTTCATCGTCCTCCATGAATTTCGACCGTTCCACCGCCAAGTGTTTCGCGATCGTCTCTAAAGGTGACCAGACTTTGTTCACGAACTGTTGTCGTTCCTCCGCTGCCATCGATTCCGACCGGTGAATTATGTCGTGTCTGGAAAGGAAAGTTACGTGTTGAATGTATGAATTTATTCATTCTCGGAATCGAGGCGTTTTATGTCTTTCCTATCGAAGATCCACCTTCCCTCGACTGTATATCGTACAGGTCAGATTCGATTTTGAAGTGACATTATAAAACTTCTCGGAACGACACCATGGTATTCAGAATTGTCATGTTTACGTAAGAAAATCGACCATTCTCGAGATTTGGTAATACCCTAACTCTATACGCGAATTCGGTTGTTATATGTATACTTAATTACAGTGACAGTTAAATGTAAAGGATTCATTGTATTTTTCTTAATGTTTCTTTTATGAAATGGAATTAATTGTCCTTATGAAATTTTATTATCGACGCCTGAAGCCTGTTTTCTCTGCATATTCTTTACGTTCTTTATGATACATAATTCTCATATAAAGCACTAACACGCGTGCGGGTATTCTTCAATGTTAACGAAGCGGGTTGTTAAAGTCTTTATGAAGCAACCCGGTCATCGAGAGTAATTTATCGATGAACCTTCTACGAGTCGATCGCGCGTTCGTACGGATTTAGTCGGTGACATTTCACATGGTCGTACTTAACGAGCCTGGAACTCCGAGTTCGAACGGTTTCGTTCGATACTCTTTTTTTTTTTTTATTTTGTTTTCGTCGAATACGACAGCGGTCGTGCATACGTGGGTCGTTCGGTGAAAGTCTTTGTCGATCTTCCTGCTGTTTTAACAGATAAATCTTTGGATCCAACGCTGCCACGAGCGGCATTGTAATCGATTCCACGATTCGCAGGTTGATACGCGAGAGAAAGACCCAAGTTTGTGGATCACGAATGTATCTAACGAGAATTCTTAATGTGGAGATCGCTGTTACGTAATCGAAGCTAAGGGAGGCAACGACCGTAGCAGAAATGCTGGTAGCGTGGGTGGCAGGTTTACATAATTTTAAACGTTTCATTTTTTTTTTTGGAGAACATGTGGGCCGAATATATACGGAAATTCCCTGAAGACTCGGATTTAAATCATTTGTCAAGGTTGAAAGCGTTTCAGTAGTCGAAGAGAAGAACAGACTGCGCATATAGCTATGACAAAATTCTTGGTAAGGCGAAACAGGAAGACATTTTACATAAAAATATATATCGAAAATATGGAATAAGAATTGTTTCTGAAACTTTGCTTTATACTTACAAAACTAAATTTGAATATTGATTGAATAAGACGAGATTAATATGTATAGTATTAGGATGTTGCATAGTAAATGTCGTTTTTAAAGATTCAACGATTATGGCTTATTGCGAAGCAAATCTTTGTAATCGAAATAGAATCCATCTGACAAATGGAGACACTCTTGCTAACGAGTCACACGCTCCTTAATCCTACGTTAAACGATTTTTAAATGGCTGATGACCATGAAATGACATTTATTATACAACAACCTTTATATAATGGTTCATTATAATTTCAGAAACAGAGGAATTGGTATAAAAGAGAGAGTAACTTATCAGTGTGAATTACAAGTAGAAACAGCAAGACATAGACAGACCCATTAGCCAATTAAATTTCTTCAAAAATTTTATCTACTCAAAAGTTTCAATTTAACTTTACACGAGGAATCACAGTGTCCTCGTTCGTATCACGAATTCTTCAACATTCCGCAGAGCCTCACACACGTGAAGACGTGCGTGCTTAATTGTCCATGTTCCAGTACTTGTTTTTATACTCGAATTGATTATAACACCCAGAGTATTTATTTCGAATATTTACCTGTTCATTCTATTCTTCTTCTTCGGGTACAAGTTCAAATGGAATATCATCTGTTGCCTCTCCTCTTCCTCACTCATTGCCTGATTAGGCAATCCTCCCATTGATTGCGGGGCCGTGGCGTAAAACTTCGGCACTCTGTTCAACTGAATCGGCCGTCTGATGTCATAATCATCCGGGACAACTTGTTTCGGTCTCGAATTCTTCTTGTTCTGCTCCATTATGTCGGTGATCGGATAAATGTCCAGCATCACGCTGAACGGTTTTGGCTTCCGTTTCTTCGCGTAGTTGGCAGCGTACGGATTTACAGGTTCGTATTGAGATTCCGCTGCTGACGGGGGCTGTTTCATGTAATTTATTGGTTTGCCATATAAGTCGTAGTAAGGATTGTATCTGTGCAAGCCAGTTGGAGCGAATCTAAAAAAATGTGTTATTCTTTTCTCTAAACTATTTCTTGACTGCTTCACCCACGTTTCGATTGACGTCGAATATTGAGAATAAATATTGTACATTATAATAATTCCTAGTTGCTGGGAAAGTAACTTCGTTTTTGCTTATGTAAAATGAACAGCGTTTTCCATCAATCCCATTTGACTGAATATTTAAAGGGAACTTCAATTAAAAATTTCAAGGAAAATTGTATCATCGATTAATTATAATGGACGAAATTAGAATGCTAATTCTATAAATTGTTACTATTTAAAATTGTTGCTTTCATTTTAATGTCGTAAGACAATAAATCTTTTCCACCAATCCAATATCAGAATATTTAGTGTAATATTCAAGTATATGATTTCTTCGATATTTGCATGACGATATGCAAATGTTTTGATACAGACATTATCCTTCAAGCGGAATAATTTCGACAAAATAGACAGATTTATAGAGACAACAGGTTTTACAGACCTGACGTTGGACGTTGCTAAGAGATTGACATCCGCTGGATGTTTCGGTTTGTATTGATAAAACGGATCGTCGTTCGAGTAGCTGTCTTCCTCTTCAGATCTATCGCTGTTGGCCATCATCTCCCCGATATCTGGTACCATGTCATACTTCTTCGGATTCACATAAACTCCCGTGAATTTAATGCCCCTGTTCGGCACTTCCGCGTCGTGCGTCAGGTATTTTATGATGTCCTGAATGTTTCTGGACGAATGCGGATATCTGTACTGAGAGAGCTGGGGATATTTTATTCGCTTGAAAGAAGTTGGTTGGGGTGTTTTTAGCTCCCAGTGGAAAGGCGTTGGTCGACTTTCCTCCGAGCTTTCTTCATCTTCGCTTACACCTGGGTACTTGTACCTACGTGAGAATCGATTAATTTTTCGATATATTAAATCACTGTCAATGATACGTGGTACTATATTAATAGAATCGTGCACATGGTAAACTTTCTTCCTTGAATAGTTTTCAATACTTTTTTTCACACAATTTCGAACACGTCTGAGTACTTATTATTTAAAATTTTATATGTATACATTGAATTTTGTTTACCTGAGATCGTAATACTCGTTGTATAACGAAGTCAAGCCAATCTACCTATATTGATTTCGACAAAATACAATTGTGCAACATATGAATTAAAGAGAAACTTCTTCAAACTCCAAGCAAAGAGAATGAAAGTCGAATGTATCAATAAACGAACGAGACTCACAACGGTTTTGGCAGGTATTATTATAAAACAGTTAATATTTTTTTCCTACAAATCCTCCAAAAAAATTCGTTTGCATTATGAGAAGTCAAAACTTTTTCACATGTAATAAACAGAAATGTCATATGAATAATTCGTATCATTTCATTTTTAATACTTTGTAAAGTTGTATCGTGTTTTTCATATTGATTTCATATTACACGTTTCTTCGATCAACGAAAAATGTCATTAAAAAATTATTCAACATTTCATGACATTGTGAATTATGTATCAAAAACCATGAAATATTTAGTTTTACCTTTGTCTCAAACGGTAAACAACAGCATGGTTGTCAAACAACTGTTTTCCTTCCGCAGGAGACTCTTCAGCGTTATTGTCCACGGACTTCAGAACCCTCCTTCGTAATTTGAAGTTGTTCAGATTCTGAGACCTTTGTTCAGCTTCGGATTCTTTAAAACGATCTGTGTCCTCGTGAGATAGAATGTAGCCCGAATTTTCATGGTCAGACCGATCCTGGATATAGACAGGATTCGTCCTATTCACTTCCGACACGTGAGTAGAATTGGAGAACTTCAACGTGACGTTTGTTGGTTTCTTCAGGGCATTTTGCAATATGTACTTGTGTTTCGTTTCCTGGTTAACTTTACTGTGTAATGTCGTGGCGTTCGTGAAATCGTATAGGAATATTCCGATCTGCAACAACAAATTATCAACTTCATAATCTAGGAAAATTATACAAAGAACTTTACACAGGAACATGTAAATTTACAAAAGAACTGCGATTATTAAAATGATATTCACCACCAAACTTTCTCTACTTTGAATATCTAATAATGTTACACTTTCAAATATTGTTTTGTGTAGTATGAAACAGAACGTTGAGCATGGAATTTGTACAAATGCTTGTAGACGAGTATTACTACTTGTAAATTTTCAGTCATTCATCAAGTTTCAATGGGATCGACGGCGTTCTTTGGTGCACGCCGGTTAATTTGTGTCAGAACACAGTTAACGCCCTATATGTGAAGCACGCAGAAATCTTCTTTGACGCTTGGCTCGCCATGCATGGAAGGGTTATACCGACGTTCGCGGTGAAATTGCGATTTTTAACGTCGCTGCTGCACCTGTTACATTAATCATGGGAGAAAACTAGAGAAGATGTAATTGCGCCCATTGTTCTCCGAAATGGCGTCTTGTTAAGACGGAAAGGGACAAAAAGTTTACTTTTAGTGAAACCATTATTGTTATCCCTTTGATCTTTATCGTTCTTCACTTAGTTTGTGTATGTTACTTAAACTGAAAATGTCAATACAATTTCTCATTCTTGCTCATTATTGAAAACAATGGTTGACGAAAAATTTTCTTTAAAAATTGAGTTATTTATTAATCGAATATGAAATAAAAAATTAATTTTTTTTTGGGCGTCAACACATTTACGTACACCATAAGTGCACACACATTTCCACTTGATTGACAATTAAGAAATAAACCGTGGATTTTTTATGGATTAATAATTCTGTTACATTGAATTATGTTGTTATTGATTCTATTGGATTAAGCTATATTGCTATAATATTCCACCTATAAAACGTGTTTGGAATCTCTGTTTTATCACGAGCTCTGCATTTCAAATTCATCGCTAGCGTAAAATCAATATAATACAGAATTGAGACGTTTCGTGATCAAGCACAGCTTTCTGGCATTTAAAAAAAGGAAGCTACTTGTTGCCCCGATTAAAGTAATTCGAACGTGGTTTCTAGGGATCCATAATTACTAGCGGAATTTCCACTCGCGTTGTTCTACGTTAATTAAAAATTTATCGGCCTCTGGTAAATGCAGATTGGATCGTGCAAATACGTGATGACGGATATCGTTTAGACACGATATAACATTGTAAAATGTTTAATGATCTATGGATAATAATCCTTGATCACGCTTAGGAAGTCGTTGAACCAGGTGAATGTAGAAACAGGAAGCCGTACGGATCGACGGTTTCCAAGATCGTAGGATTTTGTAACGTGGCCGTCTAAAAGCGGAAACTGGTCCTCCGTAGAGCAAATAACGCGATATGTAGGTGAGTAGCGTGCAAATATTAACACAGGCGGATGAGTGTAAAGCTATTAGATGGATACTAATGATCAGAGTCGATTTATCCAAGAATATGCATTCTTCTTTCAAATTATCTGTCTTTAAAATAATTTCCTGACTATATGAAATATGTTCTGTCTCCGTTAATTTCAACTCAGGTACATAAAATTGATATCCTCTGAATATGAGTTGTTTGATCAGAGAGATATGATAGACAGATGAAGAGTTAGTAATCAATAATTATAAGTGGAAGTTCAAAAAGAGCTAAATTATTGAACGAATGAATTGGTAATTGTCTTATTTAACTACTGTTAATGGTGTTAATTATTGATATAACGCGTTAGTAATTAACCATAATTAGTGATATTTAGTATTCATAATTAGTGATAAATTGTGGTATTTACTATTTACAATTAGTGATAATTAGTTAGATTTCTTAGTCAATTAGTGAAGTTTGGTGACTTAAAAGTAAATTTATATGTGTACGCGTTATTGTAGTGTATTCAATGTCTGGCGAAGTACTCACTAGTATCACTGCAACCACCACCATAACTCCTATTGCGAATTTTCTCGTAGTGGAACTGTAACGGCTTCTAATATCTCGATCACTGTGATCTGAATAAAGTCCAAGCTGGGATGTACTGATCGCAGTTCTTCGTTCTGATTCATTCATGTCCTCTCACGTGTTCTCTCGACTCACGTCCCTTGTAATCATTCATTGGCGACGTCCAAAATCCTAAAATCGACCCGCTGATCGTTCGTGCACTCAAGAACTATTTTAAAAAGTAACTCAAGACCTTTCTACCTTTCCAATCGAACCTTTTCCAATCGACAAATAATCGACATTCATAGAAAGTATAAATACTCGACGTTTCACGCGAAACTCGTTAAAATAAGCACGGTATCCCGGAAACATTAATCATCGATCGAAATATTATCCGATAGCTTGTGATCGATTGTGGACCAACAAAGAAAAACTGTTTTTAGTTTTAGATTGTTGTTCCGTAAACACGCGAGACGATGTTCTTTCAGAGCTCCATATGCAACTAACGAGCTCCCATTTCGCGCTACGGAGTTTTCACCGGTGATCCCATCACGAACCTAGAAAATCGCTTTGTCCGTGGGGGAGGCTCGTTATGGTAGTAATAGCCGGGTTATGGACTACTTACCACGCCATGAGGCTCGAGTCAAATATCGTTGCAACGATATCCATCAAGTGAATGTCAATGTCATTGTGTCAGGGCGATTCACTCGACGGATTAACCATCCTTTTTTGTTCCCTTTAGCGTGTTCAACCGATCGAACTAATTGTCGGCTTCGATTCGATCAGAAACGACGTATGAAACTTTATAATTCACTTTTCGAATCGAATAAGATGATTTAAGTAAAATACGGATGGAACAATTTATCTAGTTCAAGGATCTTTATTTTATTGTGAAAGTATATTCGTGATACGTAACGAACAGACGTGTCATTTGGGAACGTCGTTTTATGCAAAACCATATTTCATAATCATTAATATTCATGAACGAAGAGGATATCGTGGGTGGAAAGGTGACTCTTGAAACCCTCTGGCTAATCAGGTGTGTGTTCTTCTTCGCCACCGTCCACCGTGTTTCGGTTGAGTCTAGTGGATGAACGTTGCGTGGAAAAGATCAACAGTGCAGCTGAAATTAAGTGTCCGATTCACGTGGGACGGTGAACGCGAAGGACTTTCTCTGACAAACATTATTATCGAATAATAATAACTGACATTGTTAAAACTGGCGCGAAATAGAAATCTGGCGCGCCGTAATTTAAAAAGATCTCTGTGCATCTACCCTTTCTAACTTTTACGTCTTTCACCGAGGAGCAATGACACGCTGGTTACATTTTGTACAAACTTTATTTACTTAACCGTGCGTGGTGGTGTTACACGATACGAAAGAAGTTAAACTTCCTGCAGAGAACAACTTTTTTCAGACCGTTTGTAACACACGACATTGTCGACGTTGTTTTGTGTCTATTAGAACATTTTAGTCATTCACAATTATTACATTTACTAAAATTTTCACCAGATGTCCCGGATACACGCGCACTTGATACTAGTAACTGACAAACGATTGACGCTGATTTTCATGTTTCTCTCGCTAGCATAATAATCCATTGACACCGCGTTTCGTCTCTTGTCTATGATCCATAAATTATCTCTTATTTTACACGTATGTATATAAAAAATTACAGAAGAGAAAATGTAGTTTGCGATTGTGTCAGTTCCTTGAAATCGCCTGCCTCGGTCCTTCATCGGACGAACGGCGGCAATTCGAGTGGATTCTCTGGAACTGGATAGAAGTAACCGATTGGTCTCTTCGTGGTTGGCGGTAGAGTCGGTGTAGGCGCTGGTCGTCCGGTTGGTGGTGGAGTGTATTCAGTTGATGTATGCGTAAGAGTGTAGAGAGGTGTCGGCGGGGGCGGTGGAGTTATGGTGACTCGTGGAGTTGACGGAGTAGAGGGTGGAAGATATGGGTCAGGACGAGTAGTGCCATACGATGGGACGGGTCTAGGAGTGGTTCCATAAGATGGCGTTGGGGGAGTACCATAAGATGGGGTGGGTCTAGGAGTAGTGCCATAAGATGGGACGGGTCTAGGAGTGGTTCCATAAGATGGCGTTGGAGGAGTACCATAAGATGGGATAGGTCTAGGTGTAGTGCCATATGATGGGACGGGTCTAGGAGTAGTTCCATAAGTTGGCGTTGGTGGAGTACCATAAGATGGGGTTGGTCTAGGAGTAGTGTCATACGATAGGGTGGGTCTAGGAGTAGTGCCATACGATGGGACGGGTCTTGGGGTACTCCGATCAGGTGGTAAGTAAGTGTTGGGTTGTGTTGGAGGTCGTACCGGAGGGCTGGTTGGTGGTAAGTAAGGTGGGGATGGTGTTCTAGGTGGCTGGGGTGGAGAGGGAGGTCTGGTTGGTGGTTGTGGAGGGAAAGGGGGTCTAGTTGGAGGCTGTGGGGGGAAAGGAGGTCGAGTTGGTGGTTGCGGTGGATGAGGAGGACTAGTTGGTGGTTGCGGGGGGAAAGGAGGTCGAGTCGGTGGTTGCGGTGGGATCGGTGGCAAGTAAGGAGTCGATGGTGTGTTAGGTGGGTGAGGTGGAGACGGAGGTCTAGTTGGTGGTTGTGGGGGGAAAGGAGGTCTAGTTGGTGGTTGTGGGGTGAATGGTGGTCTAGTTGGTGGTTGCGGGGGGAAAGGAGGTCTCGTTTGTGTTTGTGGGGTGTACGGAGGTCTAGTTGGGGGTTGTGTTGGAGCAGGTGGCAAATAAGTTGCTGGTGTCCTAGGCGGCTGAGGCTGAGGAGGTGGAGGTCGAGTTGGTGGCTGTGTTGGGTGTGGTGGCAAATAGGGAGTTGAAGGCCCGTGAGGCGGTTGTGGTCGAGGTGGAGGTGGAGGTCTAGTTGGCGGTTGTGGCGGAGCAGGTGGTATGTAAGGGGTTGATGGTCTTTGGGGCGGTAGTGGTGGAGGAGGTGGTCTAGTTGGTGGCTGAGTTGGGAATGGGGGTAGATACGGTGTTGATGGTCCCCGGGGCGGCTGTGGTGGAGGTGGAGGAGGTCTAGTTGGCGGTTGTGGCGGAGCAGGTGGTATGTAAGGTGTTGATGGTCTTTGAGGCGGTAGTGGTGGAGGAGGTGGCCTAGTTGGTGGCTGAGGTGGGAATGGAGGCAAGTATGGTGTTGATGGTCCCCGAGGCGGCTGTGGCGGAGCAGGTGGTATGTAAGGGGTCGATGGTCTTTGAGGCGGCAGTGGTGGAGGAGGTGGCCTAGTTGGCGGCTGAGGTGGGAATGGGGGCAAGTATGGTGTTGATGGTCCCCGAGGCGGCTGTGGTGGAGGTGGAGGAGGTCTAGTTGGCGGCTGTGGCGGAGCAGGTGGTATATAAGGGGTCGATGGTCTTTGAGGCGGTAGTGGTGGAGGAGGTGGCCTGGTTGGTGGCTGAGGTGGGAATGGGGGCAAATAGGGCGTCGACGGTCCCTGAGGTGGTTTTGGTCGAGGTGTTTGTGGTGGTCTAGGTGTTTGTGGTGGAGAAGGTGGGAAATATGGTGGCGGCAGTGTTTCTTTTGGTACTGGATAATCGTATCCAGTTATTGCTGGTCTGGATGTAGTTACATGTGGTGTCGGTGGCCTTGGTGGTTGCGTAGAGTATGGTGGTTGATACGTAGACGGCCTTGGCGGCTGCGTAGAGAATGGTGGTTGGTACGTTGGTGGTTTTGGTGGCTGCGTGGAGTATGGTGGTTGATATGTAGGTGGCCGCGTTGGTGGCCCAGTTGGCGGTCGTGTTGGGGTCGGATAATCATATCCAGTTACCGGTGGCCTAGCAGTTGTTACTTGTGTTGAAGGTGGCCTGGGCGGTTGCGTAGAGTATGGTGGTTGATACGTAGGTGGTCTTGGCGGCTGCGTGGAGTATGGTGGTTGATATGTAGGTGGACGAGTGGGTGGCCCAGTTGGTGCTGGATAATCGTATCCAGTTGCTAGTGGCCTGGAAGTAGTTACGTGAGGTGGCCTCGGCCGCTGTGTGGTGTACGGTGGTTGATACGTAGTTGGCCTTGGTGTTTGCGTAGAGTATGGAGGTTCATACGTATGTGGCCGAGTTGGCGGTCCAGTTGGTGGACGTGTTGGTACTGGATAGGTATAAGTAGGCGGTGCCTTACTGGCTGTAGTAAAAGGTGGTCTTGTGGCTATTGTGTAGCCCGGCGTTGGTCGTGGGGTTTCATAAGTATATCCTGATGTCACTGGCGGTCTAGGTATAAAAAGGAATAAAAAATTTATTATTACTTATGCTAATCCAGATAATGTAATTATAACATATTTTACTTCATAGTAATTATCATTGCACTAAATCTTACCGTGGTGGTAACGTAAACTTCTCATCTGGCGGTTCATAGTTGTAACCTCCAAAGCTTGATTTAGTTGATATCGCCCTCTTGCTTCTCTCATTGGATGCTTGCGCATCGCATGTGGAGAGCACTGCCACTATCGTGGCAATCCATAGAATGCGCTGAAAATAAAAATAATCCCACATTTATAAAACATCTATAGCATCCCTATATTCGAAATTGCTTTAATCTCGTAGTAGTCAAGTTGAACTGTTAGAACATGCACCATTGAAACCCATCGTCGACGTTCATTCAGGAACGCAGGACTAACTGACCTCGATTAATAAATCCAATGTACCGAAGTCAATTGAGTCACGGACTACCGCTAATCGATTATAATATCTCGAAGTTTGTCTTCGTGGGACTATCTCACGCCTCACCCACAAGCTTCTTACATAACCTGTCTCAACCACGTGGCGCATCCTATAATGCACCGATGCTCGTGAAAGGTTCGTCCATGTGAAACGCAGTTTATGCTACTCTCATTGATTAATGGGTGCTCAACGCTTCGAACCCCCGTCATTCAATTCCAATCACCTATCGACATCATACCAGGCTACTCCGAAATTTCCTCTGCATCTTCTCATTGATGAGGGTATCGCAAAAGAATAATACCCACTTCTCACTACAATACAATCCATCATACTTCGCGCGTTAATTAAATTTCGTAATTTCGAATTCAAGTTGCGTAACCGTTGTCTTCATCCCGTCTCTAATTAATCTCCCGCGGGAACCTCGGGCGCCTTTTATTTTTTCATTCCATTAAATGCAAATA